AATTTTGCGACGCAAAATATTGGTCGCTATTTCGGTCGCTAAATAAAAAAGTGCAAAATAAATCATATTTTGGTCGCTAAATCGGTCGCTAATTGCGACCGAATTAAAGTGGTCGCTGAATCGGTCGCTAATTGCGACCAAATTAAAGTGGTCGCTAAATCGATCGCTAATTGCGACCAAAATTAAATCGGTCGCTAAAGCGGTCGCTAATTTCGGTGGCTAAATGTGTTTTTTCTTGTAGTGTGAGGTGGCACAGTCCAATGATGGTATTGTTATATCTCAGAGAAAGTATGTCATGGATATTTTAGAGGAAACTGGGTTGATGAATTCAAAGTCTGTTGATACGCCCATGGATCCCAATACTAAATTTTTACCAAATCAGGGGGAGCTTATACCTGATCATGAGCAATATAGAAGATTGGTTGGAAAATTGAATTATCTTACAGTTACTCGTCCTGACATTTCCTTTGCAGTCAGTGTGGTAAGCCAATTTCTTAATTCCCCATATGAAGATCATTGGAATGCAGTCATTCGTATCTTAAAGTATATTAAAGGATCTCCTGGAAAATGATTGTTATATGATTCTAATAACTATACAAGAGTTGTTTGCTACACAGATGCTGATTGGGCAGGATTTCCTTCGGATAGAAGATCTACATCTGGATATTGTGTCTCCATTGGTGGTAACTTGGTCTCATGGAAAAGTAAGAAACAAAGTGTTGTGGTAAGATCTAGTGCAAAAGCAGAATATAGAGTTATGACTTCAGCTGCTTGTGAACTTGTTTGGCTCAAGCAATTGCTTAGAGAGTTACAATTTGGAGATGTCACTCAAATGTCACTTGTGTGTGACAATCAGGTTGCTCTTCATATTAGTTCTAATCTTGTCTTTCATGAGAGAACCAAACACATTGAGATTGACTGTCATTTCATTCGAGAAAAGATTATGTCTAGAGACATCAAGACTGAGTTTGTTAACTCAAGTGATCAGTTAGCAGATATTTTTACTAAATCTTTACGGGGTCCTAGAATTGATTATATTTGTAACAAACTTGACACATACGATTTGTATGCTCTAACTTGAGGGAGAGTGTTAGATATTGTTTAGATATTATTTAATATTGTTAAGATATTGTTAGATATTAACCATAATATCAAACAATATCTTCTGTTTATTCTGTTACTTTCAGTTACTCTTTTAGTTGTATCTCTCTACTATAAATAGATTACCCTATGTGTGATTTATACACATAGGGAGATTAATCCAAACTCTATTTCTGCTATATTCAACAATCATAAATGACAAATTTATTAATGTATCATTGGTCTCATATAATACTATATTTGTTATTTGATTTATATTTATATTATATTTAGTGGAGGATGACAAATTGTCAGTAATTCAAACTTTTACTTCCCATTTACCAACAATATTTCGGGTTGAAATGAAGTGAAATATCTTTGAACAATATATCATTTAAATCTTATAGATATGAAAAACGTAATGAAGAATGAAATTTCATTTGAGATTATTAACTAAAATTTAAATTATTAAAATTTATATTTTTAAACTAAACATATTATATTAATATATATATATATATATATATATAATTTAAAATTCAAATTTTATTAAGATGTATAATAATCTCAAAAATCAATTTTAAGTTGTGAATTAAAAATAATAATTAATAATATATCCACTCAAGTTTAAACTAATTTGTAATTGAAGATCGGTGATTTAAATGAAAATAATAAATTGGATTAGATAAAATAATCTTATATAGATTAATGAAAGTAAAAATAGATATCATAAAAATAGATTAAATAGTAAAAAAAATTATATATATACTAATTTTAATAAGACAAATATAAATTATTTTTGTAATAATTAGTGATTAGATAAAAAAGACTCACCTTCTCAATAAAACATACAAAATTATTTTATTTTATTCAAATTATTTTTCTTATTTAAATCATAAAAATTCAACCTTTAACTACAAATTAATTTAAACAAATATTATTAATTTTTGTTTCCTAATTCACAACTTAAAATTGATTTAATGAAATTATTATATATCTTAATAAATTTTGAATTTCATATATATATATATATATATATATATATATATATATATATAAATTTATAGAGATAAGTTTATAGAATAATACATTTATTTATATAATAATATAATATAATAGGTTTGTTTTAACTGTTATAATTACATCTACATATTTATTATATAATAATACATTTAATCTTCTCATTTGATGAATCTTCTCAAATAACTTAATAAGATAAAGTTACATACTCCATTCAATATGTAAATTATTATTTCTAAAAAAAATGTGTATTTGATAAAGTGTGTAACTTTAATAGAATATGTATATTACATATTGAATGAAGTATGTAACTTCTCAAATAGAGTGTGTATTTGACAAAGTTACACACTTCAACATTTTTAAATATATTATTTTATGTATCTTCTCATTTTTTTATAATATCATAGATATCTCAAATATTAGTAATTTTATGTATCTTCTCATTTTATTTTCATAAAAATTCTTATTTCTGATATTTATCTTTAATATATATATATATATATATATATATATATATATTTAATTTTTTTTAATGATTTCATGCATGAATTTTTTTTTCATGTGTTTATCTGTTCATGAAATGGTAAGTTATTCTTTTTAATAATTTATTGAAGTTAAATAATTAGTCTTTTATTATTTTAAAAAAATTAAAATATTTAAAATTGTTTACAAATATTATAATTTAGTATATTTTATATTATAAATGTTGAAGTGTTAAAAAAATAATAAAAATAAGGTAACTGGATAAAAAATTACAAATTTTAAAAAAGGAAGGACTTTTAAATTTTTTTATTATAATTTCTAAATAATAATACGTTATAACGTCTAAAATATTCCAATTATACACTAGTAACGGGTTGTTCATGTGAAGATTTTACTTGTAGTTTTGTAAACCAATAATATGTATGAAAATCTATTGACTTTATTTTATTTTGAATTTATATGTCAAATTTGAACTTTAGTCTAATTTTTATTACATATTATAAGAGAAATTAAGTTTTAATAGATAATAGTTTTAAAACATTCAAAATATATCATTTTATTTTAAAACAGTTATTCTAGTATTCATGAAAATATATACTTACCATTAATATAAATTTAACTTTTTACATTTAAATGTTGTTTTATAAATTATATATTTTTTAAAATAAAAAAATAAAATTTGAAGAAATATAACAATTATAATTTAATGATTAAAATAATAAATAAAGATAATTTTTATATACATTTATTTCTTATTCATTATTTTTTATTGATTTATTTGAAATATGTGATAGTAATCCAATAATAATAATTAATTTAATTGTATTAATTATTACATTTTAATATAAAATATGTAATTAAATTGATTACATTTATCATACTTATAGACTCTCTATCTACTATTATTATTATATAATATCATGTGGTATTTTATTTATTATTATTACTTATAAAAATATAAGTGTTTTAGGGTATATATGTCTATATTTTTTATTATTAATTTATTTAAAAATATTAATTTATTTTATCTGTTCGAGGTACCTAAGTTTTTATTTTCCATTCATCTCATCATATTTTTCTCTCTCTATTCATTTCATTATTTTTAAATATATAAATAATAATAATTATTTTTTATATTATCTATTATTTTATAAATTATAATAATATATATTAACTTTCCAATTAAAAAATATTCTTATATATAATATGTTATAATAAATAAACAAATACAATATTATCAAATTTATTATTTTAATATATTTATATATCTCGCATTCCTAAAAATAAAAACTAATATTAATTTATAAATACATTCTTTTCTTAACCATTTAATTTCCTTTTAAAGATAAATCTTTAAAATGTGGTCTAATAATGTTATTTAATAAATTTAAAATATAATTTATTTAATTTTTTTAAATTTATCCCCTTTTTCATAATTTATATGACAGTATTTTGATTTTTTTATAAAATATATAATTAAGATAAGAAAAAAAAGTATATTAAGAGCATATATATCATTTATAACATTCATGTTTTGACAATTCTCATAATTAATTCAGACTTCTAAAATTATACTTAAAATTTGGAAGAAAAAACAACAACTATTTGTTAACATTTTAACATTGGTTGTGAAATTTTAACGAATAATGGAAAATATTGAGTATAATCTAAAAATTATATTTAATTGTCTTCTAAAGTAATAATGGTTTATTTTAAGATAAATTTTAAATAATAATAATAAATACATAGCACATAAAAAATTTCAGTCAACAAAAGATTGAAAGACCATCCACCCAACCCTAATTTACTGCGATTGAGGGCAGATTCTTTCGTATTCTCAAGGACAACTTTTCTGCTGCGTTCCTCCCAATTACAATCCCACCATGTAAGCATCGTATCACATCTTCTCTCCCCGGATCTCACTACCCTTCTTTCTTTTTTCTTTTTGTTTTTTCTTTAATTCTTGTTAACAATTTTCATCTCATTCCGTACAACTCTTTTCTTTTATTTGTTAATTTGTATTTGTATTCCCAATCTCAATTAACCTTTGATTTGGGAATTTACTCTGATAATAATAATGGACTATTCTGCTGAAAGTTCAAAAAAGTCGACGTTTTTACCTGGTTTCTATGTGTCGTTCATACTCATAGGGTGGATCTGAATTTTCTATTGCATTTGTGAGTTTAAGTTAGCATACCCTGCGATAAAAAGTTGATTTTTTCACAATTCACATCCCAAAATTGATACTTTGACCATGTTATAATATTTATTACCTGTGTATTTTTAGTCTACTGAATATTATTATTTTCATGATTGTAGTTTAAAATTATGGGTTTGTTACCTTTGCAGAATCTCTAGCCCCTTATTAAAGCTGTTTGTTAGTTTGATTTGGAAGTTGGTATCGATAATCTGGTGTGATGGGTGGCCAAAGAAGTGGTTATGGTAAGCGCCCTCACTCTCAATCTGACTATGATAATGGGCCAAATAAAAGGAGGAATCATGGCGAGGACAGAGAGCAGTTTGTGATTGATTCGGAAGACACGGTTTTTCGATATGTGTGCCCCGGTAGAAAGATTGGCAGTGTTATTGGTAGGGGAGGTGAGATTGTTAAGCAACTGCGGGTGGAGACTAAGGCCAAGATTCGGATTGGTGAGACTGTTCCAGGTTGCGAAGAGCGTGTTGTTACTATTTATAGTCCCAGTGATGAGACTAATTCCGTTGAGGGTGGTGGGAATTATGTCTCACCGGCTCAGGATGCTCTGTTTAAGGTGCATGACAGAGTGGTTGCTGAGGACTTGCATGGTGATCAGGATGATGATGGAGGTAACCAGGTGACTGCTAAGCTGCTGGTGCCATCTGATCAGATAGGTTGTGTTATTGGAAAAGGCGGGCAGATAGTTCAGAACATTCGTAGCGAGACTGGGGCTCAGATTCGGATACTCAAGGATGATCATTTACCTTTGTGCGCCTTGAGCTCTGATGAGCTTGTGCAGGTAAACTGGATGACATTTTCTTACCATTACATGCAATGGGCTTTTCAGCTTTTTTTTTTATGTTTATTTATTAATGCAATTGATGATCAGGATATTAAATGAAATTGCTATTCAGCTAACATGTTTGTGTTTTTTCTTCCAAATATTGTAAATGTGGTCGTTGCGCCTGATCAATTCTTTACATAATTGTTCTTTCTTGAATGAATTTTTAGATATTGTCCAAATCTGGTTGGAAATTAATATTTGTTTACAATTTTCTTTCTGTTATTTTTGAAACTCCAGATTACTGGGGATGCATCAGTTGTGAAAAAGGCTCTGCATCAAATAGCATCTCGACTTCATGATAACCCTTCACGAACTCAGCATCTTCTTACTTCTGCTGTTCCTGGTGTATATCCAGCTGGTGGTTCACTCATTGGTCCAACTCCAGGAGCTCCAATTGTGGGAATAGCTCCTCTTGTTGGTGCTTATGGGGGATATAAAGGTGACACCGGTGACTGGCCACCGCGGTCCATGTACTCAGCTCCAAGGGATGAAGCATCTTCAAAGGAATTTTCAGTTCGATTAGTTTGCCCAACAGGAAACATTGGAGGAGTAATAGGAAAAGGTGGTATGATAATAAATCAAATTAGGCAGGAATCTGGGGCAACAATCAAAGTTGATAGTTCAACAACAGAGGGAGAGGAATGCTTAATCGCCATTTCAACAAAAGAGGTAAAATTTTGGCCACTCAATGGGCCATATTTGTTTTGTTTTTATAAATTTAATTTTATGAGTATGATTTTTATTTGGTGCTATATTTGTGACGTTTTCTAAATTGTGCTACTACAAAGTAGTAACCATTTCAACAATAGAAGAGAAATGTTGATCACCCAGTGGCCTACTTTTTTTTACTTGCACTATAAATATATTTTTTTGTGGTATGATTTGTGCTGCTGTGCATTTTGTAATAGTTATAAATTGTGTTAATACAGTTCTTTGAAGAGACTTTCTCTCCAACAATAGAAGCAGCTGTGCGGCTGCAACCTCGATGCAGTGAGAAGGTTGAAAGAGATTCAGGAATCATCTCTTTCACAACCCGTCTTCTTGTATCAACCTCACGAATTGGTTGCCTTATTGGTAAAGGGGGATCTATCATAACTGAGATGAGGAGGCTTACAAAAGCTAACATTCGCATTATCTCAAAGGAAAATCTTCCTAAGATTGCATCTGAAGATGATGAAATGGTGCAGGTAAGGGTTCTTTCATACTTTGGTTAATTAATGTTGTTTTTGATGAAGTCCTAACATTCTGTCCTACAACATTGGCTCCCCAACCCCCTCTCTTGATTAGATTTCAGGAGACCTTGATGTCGCCAAGGAGGCTCTAGTACATGTACTTACACGGTTGAGAGCAAATATTTTTGATAGGGAGGGTGCTCTCTCTGCATTCCTTCCAGTTATGCCATATCTGCCTGTTTCAGCAGACGGATCAGATGGCCTGAACTATGATGGTAGAGATGGTAAAAGAAATGGACGAGGACATTCGTATTCAAGTGGGTATGGAGGCTCTAGTGATTTAACAGGTGGTGACGTTTATGGAAGCTATGGTGGTTCACAGGTACTTCGCACATGTTGGACTTGAGTTGTAGGATAATATTTAACCGTGCCTGAGTTCTTCTAGTTTTAAACTTTGTTTTCTTGTTCCATGTTTTGTAATTTTGTTTCACTCATATGTAGCTTGGAAGTAGCAGTGCTTATGGGGCTTATGGAAGTTATTCATTGGGACGTTCTAGTACTGCTGGGTAATCAATCTTTCTGATGTCTAAACTGCTTTCATAAGTTTTTCTTTCTTTCACTTTTCCCTGTAATTTTCATCTTAGATGAATATAGGTTATCAGCTTTGAAAATTAACCTAGCATAAGGTAAACTGCTCAGCTGAATCTTTGATTTCTGCTCTGACCTATTTTAAGGACTCATGGGTTGGATTTGGATTTAGCTCTCAATCCTGTTTGGAACTTGTGTTATGGAATCTTCTAATAACATTATAATTATTTAGATTTCATTTGTGATTGTTTATCAGTGCATTTATTTTATAGAAAATTAGGTATTAAATTTTTTCTGCTTTTGTTTTCTAATGTTTGCTTCCACAAATTGTATTCTGTTGTTTTGTACTTGGCATTTTTTTCCAGGAAATTTCTATTGTTATAGTCTACATAAAATAATGTCTAGTCCATTGTTTTCAGTGTTATCAAATGGTGGTAATAGTGTTGCCATATGGTATGGGGTGGTGGTTTTGCCAGTCTTTTGCCATCCGCCATTCACTTTTATTTTTATGGATATATTGTCTTTCCTCGGTGGTATGATGTCATGATTTTCCCTTTATCATGTCTTTCAAAAACATGATTTTGGGTTTGGTCCATTTTTAAATAACCCCAGGCCTGGATACAGGAGAGAATGTGCCCTCTTTAATGAACTAGAATATTTTTCTTCACGGAGCTAGAATCCTAAGCTGTGAAAGCATTAGAGAATGAGTCTTCTCTGTTTTTTTTCTTGAATTTTCAGAACCAAATATGTGTTTGTTGTTCTTATGTTTGCTTATACGATATTGCTCCCAATTATTTTCCCCTTATAGGATAATGTCAAGCACCCAAAACCAAACCAATGGATCCTCAAATTACTAAGTGAAGTATTAGTGTTTTTTTGAGTTATGTTTAAGACTTTATGTGATGAAAATCATGAGAATTTTATAAATGCTATGAAATTAGTTTGTTATGCTTCCATTTTTAATACATCTGTCGTTTTTATTTGTCTATCATGACTTTCCACCATAAGCCGCCATGCCATCAGTGATATTTTATATGGTAGTTTCTTTATTCTTTCCTGTCCATATTTGAAGAGGCCACTCTTAATGATAATTTGTTGTGAATATTCTTTCATTTGTTAATTCTGATATTTAGTACCTGTTTCCAGGTTGTCGAGTCAGAGTGGTGTTTCTAGGAGGAGAAACCATGCTTACTAAACTTAATGAGTCTCTGCATGCAGGTATAGTGCAATTTTCATAAAGGCTTGTCTCTTATCTGGAAACTTCCTAAAATTTAGAACTGTCTATATATATATATATATATATATATATATATATATATATATATATATATATATATATATATCTTTTAACTGGCAACTTCCTATAATTTAGTATATAAGAGATTGATATCTTAACCTGACCAGTGCCCATTTAGAATTCTGATGATCTTGTTTTCCCTTTGTTCCCTTTCCCTTACCACCCAAACAGCTGAGTTCTATGAAGCCCGCAGCCTGCCTACTGCCTACTGCCTAAACCAGAAGACCTGATGAACCAGGGTTTGACAAACTTATGGCCCACCCTGACGCTACTACTTAGAGGACCAAACTTATGTGGAGACTATTGAAATTGGCCATGTCCGTTTTACCTTGATTCCCAAGCTTGATAACTTGTTCTCCCAAGAACCTATAAAGCTGGCTTGCCTTTCTTTTTTCTTATTATTGTGGTTCATTTATCTTTAAAACTGAGACACACCATGTAGCTTTCATCATCCGACAGTAGTATGCTATATATTTTTTTGGGTGTTATTTTCTCATAGTTCACTGTCACATGCAGTATGAGCTTTTGCGGTTATTTAAATCTCATGTTTATTTCTCCATAGTTGACCTATACATCAAAATTTGGTGGAGTTTTGGTGTCATGTTTTTCAGGTGCTACTACTTGCCTATAATATATCAGCGTGAGCAGGTAATGGGATCTTGTCTTGTATGATTCTTAAAATTCATACTTATGGATGTTGTTGAGTACCTTACATGACTACGCTTTTCAGTTTAAAGGTATGAAAGCTGTTCTTACTTCTTAGTATGTCGTCAACTTTATTACTAAAGCCCAGTCAAAAAATTAGTTGTTTGAGGAAAGATCAATTGAGTCTGAAGTGAAAATATAAAATTGATTAAAACAAGATAAAAGAAACAAAAACAACTAAAGCGTGTTCTCATTTTTCTGTACTATAAGACAGATTGAGAACAAAAAGGTCTTCAAAATAATTAGATTAAAGATAACACCCAAACAGATTTGTGTTAAGTTTTTTGAAATAAAGAACTCTTCAAAATAACGATTTCAAACATGCCATCACTTGTGCCACGTTTCTTTTTCTATTCGGCAATATCACACATGCATGGATATTTTATCAGTTCTGTGCATTTTTTTAGCTTAATTATCATTCAACTGCATTGAACCACACTGCTTATTTTTATTTATTTAAATTATGTTGTACTACCGCAACACATAGAAGTTGGCATAAAAAAGAAGATATTTTCTGCTAGACCATTAGGCCACCTGCACAGTCAGAATCTTCTGATATGGTATCCAATGGCCAGTGCTAATTTGTGCCTAGGGTTACTCTTACGTTCTGTTCTTAAGTACTAGTTTAAATTCTGAAAACAATGGCCTAGGTAGAGATTCGGTGATCTGAATTTCCATTGGAGTTTTGGTGTATTTCACTTTTCCAGGTAGTTGGATTAGATAACATTGTGCTTTCAGTACTTTGATGATACCTGGAGAGTGGATGAATTGGAATTCGGTGGATAATGTGTAACACCTTATATTGTTCACTGGTTTGTAATTTTAACCGAAATGCACTTTAATTTGTTCTATGCAACTCATTTGATAGGCCCTATTAGGAATAATTTTTTGTTGGGAACTGATGATTCCCATCATGGCCATGACTATACTATATTTGCTTTTATGATTTGCTCTTAATATTTACCTCTTATTTCTTTGCGCGGATGCTTGGTAGTATGGTATGGTATGTTTCCTTGACGAGCAAAAATGTACCAAGTAAATTATGCAGACTGCAAGGGGATTGAGTTTGACTAAATATTTTGATATATTTTGAACATGGTACGAGTGTGACTGGTTCACATGTAAAGGTCTTGAGAGGCTCCATTTGGAATTAACTTGGTTTTATTCGTTGAAGTGTTGGTCAAGTTTAATTGCGTCACTCTGTAAGGTGAATAAAATTTGATAATCGTATGTAAAAGAATGTGTTCCATTCTTTGGTTCAACTCTGTTATATTTTTAAAATTCTCTAAACGTTAAATAGAACCACTGTTTTTTATGATTTATTTTTGTTAAAGAATTTGGTTGATCATTTTTGGTGAAGTTTTTTAACATTTATTTTGATTTTTTTTTTTAACCGTTTTTTTTTATTCATGAGGTTTGACTTGGATATCGATTTCAAGTGTTGATAGAAAATGTGGATTTTGATTTTTTAAATTGGTGTCTAGTTATAATTTATTCTTTTAATTTTGGGGCATTTAATTTCAACTAACTAGTGATGGTCAAATAAATACTGCATAACTTGTATTCTAAGCCATCATTCAATCCTACAATTGTCCTACCAAAAATAATAAAGTATGAATAGTAAGATAAATGTGGAGGTTGTTTGTCATTTTTTGTGAATTTTTACCTTAAACTACGCACCGAACTTTCCTAATCACGTGAAAAATATAGAAATGAATTAACATTCTTAATGTAAATTGAAACCGTACTTATGTCATTACTCTTCAACTTGAATTGAAAGCTACCTTCTCTTTTTTTTCTTCTGTCAAGTTCAAAGAAATACTCAAATGACATAAGCGTTAATATTAAGTTGTCATCCTCCAGTACTTGTAATTAAGAGTTGCTGATTCTTAGTACATATCTAGATAAGAGAAATCCCTGGACAACTTGAAATCCAATCATATACGAACACATAACCTGAGTTTTGAAATTCGAGGCCAGGGATTCTTTGCTTGTGGGGAGTTAAAATCCATACATTTGCTAGCACATTAATAGATCCACCTAACCCGATGCACATCGAGAAGTTTTCAACTCAGTGAATAGTATTTGTTCATGCAGATACTGTTCATTGAACATAATCTATTTGATCTCTATCAATTCAGTGTCTGAACATAGTCTATTTGATCTCTGTGAATATGGTGTCACATAGTTGATAGATAACTATTTGTTAGATATCTGATTAGATGTTTGATCTACAGGTATGAGTATCAAAGAATATATGTTAAGAAAGTTGATCTTAAATAACTTTTTGTATTTGAAGTAGATACTCCAAGTTGAAAATAAAAATAAAAATCTTTGCTGTTCTCTTTGATGATACGAGAAGCTAGCTACACTAAACTAGGGTGGTGAGGTGGGAATGCATCTAATAAAGTTATCTTATTCCTTGGTTTCTTCACCATGCTAAGTCACATCTAGCAATAAGAATCCTCCAGAATTTAAGGACAACAATAGAACAGGTACAGAGGTTCCCCTTCTGCAGGGATGCTAAGATAATCAATGCTTTGGGTTGGCATGCTATGTCTTGTAGCACAAACATTTTCTTTATATTCTCATCAGATCCAGTCTCTGCTTCAAAACTCCATTCGTTTGTTTCCTGCTAAGAAAAAGCCTCCAAGTCCATTTGGCTTCTTCTCCTCTATCAGTTCTCACAGACCCCATATAAGAGTCCATGCTTGTTTCTTTCTTTTCTCCTCATTCTAGAAGGGAATGTTGTCTTCCTCATTTGGGAAAAAGGTATTCTTGCAGTTATGGCAGTTATGGGCTCTGTTTGATTGGTTATACTATTAACTTGATTGTCTAACTTATTCTATGTAGGAATCACAAATTCCTTAGCCTATTTGATTGGTCACACTTGCTTCAAATAACTCATCTAATGTCTTGCATGTGGGAATTAGGTCATGTAATGCAGCCAAGGATGACTTGCCGGCAAGCTTTGTTTGTCATTGTGAATCAAGGTTTTAAATTAGTGTTTTTGTCCATATTCTATTTCAATCTTTGTTCTTGTGATAATATTAAGGACTTTTGAGAAAGAAAAATATGATAAAAATTTGAATTCTTTTACAAAAGAAATTAATTTATGGATAAGCTAATTTGTAAAAACTTATTTTATTTTCTTTCTTCTTAATTTTCCTTTTATAAGTTTTTATTAAGAAGTTTGTATAGTTATATTCCAATATTCATTTTGCTTTCTCAGAATTCGGCAAGTTGTCTTTGGCTACATGATGTCCTTCTTCTCTCATGCTAGATTTTTTAGATGATATATAGTCATGCACACTATTAGACATGATCAATGGTAAGATGCTCAAATGATATATAATATATATATATATATATATATATATATATATATATATATATATATATACACATCAGTGCAGCTAGGGGCTCATTGAAGGTTGATTTCCACCTTGATTGCTTTGATTTAACTTGATGGATGTTGCAGGTATCAAGATTCAATTCAGTTGGTGTTAAATTTACCTCACCTTCTGCATTGCCTTGAAGTTTCATAATGTTTCTTGTTCTTGCTTCAAATCTTAAAAATGAGCTGAGTGTAACATATGACAAGCTTTGTTTTCTGCGTTTGTTTTTGTTACATTTGTAGTGTTTTCTTCACAGCTTTAGGGGATTTTTCTGGTTTTGCTTGCTCTTGAAGAATAATTAGTTTTCTTGTTTTATTTTTTACTATGGGATGAATCATGTTGTGACTCATTATTCTTTATAGAAAATACATGGGCTAATTAATTCTATGAATTAAAATTTTTTTATGAACTTTTCATCAATAATATGAAGTTTTAAACTTGGTAGATAGTCACGTTATCGTAAAAAAAATTAGTCTCTGTCTTAATTGATTAGGAAAAATCATGATAAAAAGAAAATTATAACCTTTTTTTCTATGACTAATTTGAGGTATATTACAAATAATGATTTTGAAACTTTTTCATATAACTAAAACTGCAAGTATTTGGAAGCGGGCGAGGTAGTAATTTGGTGTGAATAAAAAATTAGGAATAAAATTAAAAAAAAAACACAGTTAAATTTGAGAGGCTTAAATAATATTTTCAAAAATATTAAAAATTTATTTGATTTTTCTTTTTTAGTTTCAGAAATTTTTATGCAATGAGATACAATTTTAAGATGATTTATTCTATATAATT